GGAAAAACTTTGCGTAAGACAGGTTATTTCCAATTAAATTGATGGGACTGTGCTCTGAAGTTTTTCTAGCATTTACGAGAGTGTTAAGCTGCTGGACTACTAATAGACTCAATAAAGGCATAAAAGGAGACAATCACATATTTCTACACTGGACATAAAAACAAGATAACTTTCACTTCTGTTATTAAATTGTGAGCAATTCGGATGCCATGCTACTACAAATTGCACTTATATAAGGATCTGAAAATCACAGTGGAGCCAATATATAACAGTAGGTCTTGTACATTTGCCTTACTGTTTATTTTTCTTTGTCTAAAAATTTCTCTGCTCAGCAACAAGAATGGCATAAATGCCATTCTTCTTTGGAAGACAGAACAGAATAAAAGGGTGCGCCACATTCTGGTTTTAAGTCACAGTCCTACAACTGCTGTGGACCTACTTACTAAGAAATTAAAATGAAACCACAAAACGTTATGAATGAATGACTAATAAGTCTCTATCTGAATCATTCGTCCAAGTTGGAAGGGAAAACGTAATATTCTTAAATTGTGGTTAAGGACGGTGCAAAATCAATCACATCGGCCCCCAGGACAACCTTTGAGTAACCTTGTAGTAAATCTTTGTTTTGAAATAAAGTGTGGCTTAAGATTTTATAGATTGTTCTTCCAATCACTGAAAAAAAAATCCTCAACTTCCCAGCTCTGGGTTTGTCAGCTTTCTTGTGCTTTCTTGTGTGTTTGGTGACTGTCTTTCATTCTGCATTCAACCAAAGAGTTCCTGAGTGTGATAGTTTGATTAACTGTCAGAGGATTTACCATAAAGACTAAAAATATATTGTTTTTTTTGGATGTTACTTGTCTTTTGCTTATGAATTATTGGATTTATACAACAGGATCTGATCAGAAGATCTTGGTCACTGAGCCACGGTTTACCACTGTACTTTATTACTGACATTGCAGAAGTACATCATATTCAGCTACAAATAGCAATCATACATATCAGAAACCCTTTAAATTGTCTAAAATACAAGAACATCAGAATTTTTCTTACAAATCCTCCTTGTTTGAAACATCAATTCTTTGACTACCAACATGTAATATTTACAAAGGAAAATAATCAAAAACATGACAACAATTTTGACTCCATGCCTTCATGTGACTTTGGTTTTCCACATTTTGAGCCTCACCATGACATGGAAGTAGATGTGTTCGCAGGCTTCACTTCCAGGACGCAGAGTCAGGTTTTGAGGTTGCATCTTGCTCGGGTGATCCAACACGGCCCGAGGGTTGAAACGTCTCTCCAAAATGGAGACATTATACCTGATCCCTGTTTGGACCAGAAATGGGATTAGTAGTAACCCCTCCAGTTTTATTAATAGAAGTTTGGCTGATTGAATACCATTTACGGAAAATAATATCACTGCATTACTGCAAAAAATAAATAAATAAATAATAATAATAACAATAATTCCCTTGACTTTTGTATTTGATCAACGTGTGACCATCCCTTACAAGAGTCCAAACTCTGTGGCTTTCCCCAGAACACATTGTGCTAGATGTTATTTGCTTATGGGCTTATGTTGTAATGGAATGAGGAAAAATCTAGAGTCCGAAATTATTCATGCATTATGTTTGAGGTCAACAAGAGAATTGGAAACCTGCAGGACTCTTAATGCAGAAATTAAATTCATATGTGGTAAAATCAATTATAAAGTTTTGGTCCTTTTTTTATGTCACTACTCTAATTTTAAATGTTTAAGAGCTTCAGAGCCAATTTCTGTTTCGCAAAATAAATTAAAAAATCTGGGTCTTTGTTTTGTAGACAATGTTCAGAAATATTGTACATAGATAAACATAATTGAGATTAACTTTGATCGAGGCAGAAGAAAAATTCGTCAGGCCGCAGGAACCTCTCGATCACCAGAACATCTGCCATGCATTACTCGGCAGACATGACGAAGGGAAAAATCAAACAAATGTGTTCTGCAGCATTCAGCCATGAAGGGCAAGATAACTCCCCTTTTCTCTTCCTCTTTTCTGTTCTGGCACGAACAGCAGATTTGATAAAGATGTCGCCGGGTCAAAAGTTTAACTCCCCTGTGCACAATAAAGTGGCACTCTGATGGTACTGCTGTAAAAACAAACGGTAATATTGTTTAGGATTACACAGATTTAATGATTTATTGGCGCCAATTTTCTTAATTTTGGGAGATAGGTGATTGGCCAATACTTACATGTGAGGCCGATCTGATTCTTCAATCTTATCTACTGTACCTCTGTACAGGTCTAAGAATCATTTGCTGTGCCAAGAGGCAGGTTTGACTGGTAGACTGGCACACAATGTCACGTCTGTACATTTGCAGTTAACAATAGTCAGCAATTGGTGCACCCTTACTTCTTTTTGTGCCCTTTGCAAGAGAGTGGTCAATATTTCTTTATTGTGAATGAAAGCAACTGGAGATGCAGATTTATTCACAGTTAAAAACACATCTGAATGTGCCCAAGTTGTAGTGACGTAGCAGTTTTCAAGGCCGCAGCTTCATTTTGGCAGAGAAGAAGCAGCGAGGCCAGAATCTCTTAACGCTAGTAAAGCTTTTTCTCTGAATAGAACGATCCATTACAGTTCTTTACAGGCATCCAGAACACTGCTTAGTAAGACTTTAATAAACTTATTTAACCACTTTAATAACCTAATACTTTTTCTGAACTTTGAAACAATTATATTTGAATTGTAAAAAGGATTTTTCAAACCAAAGGCTGATAAAAGAAGTCAAGAGCACTCACAAGTCTAATAGTTATGTAACTAAACAATTTTCTCTACCTTATCTTTGCGTTTCTGACTGAATTACAACAAACAGCTAAATAAGTATCACATAAAACAGCTTGGACAAACAATACAGAAGGGAAGGAAGTAGCAATATGCAGATGTTATCCCTGCATATGATTGTTTTTGCTGGCTTACCTATTTCCTGTGTGGGAGGAATGGCCGTCCTGGCAGTGATGTTGAAGCACACAATCGCTGACATGCAGGTCACGTCTTTACCACCTCGCTGACAGTCTTTCACAAAGATATTCACCTTGCTGGGCTCAAACCTGACATTGGTGTAAATCCGCACAACGCTCCTTGACCTGTGAGGGTCACAAAGGTGAGACTGTCAGGCTGAAGTGCGTTTCTGGAAAACAACGTGTCTGTTGACATTTCCTGGAGAGTTTAGCATAAAATAGTTATTGCACAAGCAGAGTTTTATACAGACCATAGGAGAACGGCAGCTCCGAGGGAACCCACTGCCAGGTCCACTAAACCATCGTCATTCATGTCCATGGTGCCATGGATGCTGCGGCCAAAGTACTGCAGGCCCGGAGCCAAATCTACTGCTGCTATTCTCTGGATGACAGACAGCAGATGAAGAATGTGTTTAAATTATTTCAAACACCAGTTTACATTCAAATGAAGAAAGTTTTATGTGTGAAATAACAAGAACATAGTTTCGTAATGGTTATTATTATTATTTGCATTTAAATATCACCGACATCTTGGAATGCTAAAAGTAAAAAAAAAAAAAGGCAATTGAGGACATTGAAAATAATTTTCATTCAGCAGTCTAGAAATTTAGTAGTTTTTTATTACTTTGGTCAGTATATTATTATTAATTATATTAAGTCAGTACAATTAAATCATACTGACTGAATTATTATTCTGCATCTCCTATATTGCTCAAGATATACCATTGCTACTCCATAATCGTCTCAACTTTTTGCTTTGGTTTCTGTTGTCTTTTCAGTAGCAACTTGTATTTAATTATGGATTTAACTTCTGTAGACTAAAGGCCATAAGCCTCCATTTGATTCTTCAGATTATCAACAGTGTAAAAACCGACCATTATGCGGTGCTCAGTTAGGTTTTAGTATGTAATTTGTCTTTTTTATTTATCAACACTTAAAAAGATGACTCTTTTAAAGCCAAATCATTAAATTCCAAAAAGAAATGCAGCAATTTATTAATATAGCAAAACACAACTCTGTTTTAATTCAAGGGTATAAAAGGATTTACAGTGTGCTGGACCTTACACTGTAAAAAAGGAACCTCAGGGGTTATCACATTAACAAAAGAATATCATGTACTGTTAACTAAATAATTCCATGTTTGAGCCAAAAACATGATACAATCATGTTGCATAAACAAGATATTCCACAACTTCAACGTTTATAAAATTGAATCATGTTGAGAGAACATGATTCATTATAGTCAGACCGATCCTATGCTGAAGACCACGAGTGAGATCACGGGATATCACGCAAGTTCACGCAAGATTACGGGAAATCAGGGGATATCACGCGAGAATACGCGAGACAATCGGTTTCCTCTCGCAAATGGAATAAAATGTATTCAAGGTGAGATAACGTGATTGAATTACGTCAGCTAGATCTTCCGCCAAAAAAAAGAACGTCGGGGCGTATTACATTAACAAAAGAATATCATGTATCTTTCACTCAATAATGTTGGGTTTGAAGCAAAAACGTGATAAAATCATGTTGGATAAACAAGATATTCCACGACTTCACATTTATAAAATTGAATCATGTTGAGCTAACATGATTCATTATAGTCAGACTGATATTGTGCTGACGACAACGAGTGAGATCACGGGATATCACGCGAGAACACGCGAGACAATCGGTTTTTTTCTCTCAACTGGACTAATGTGATTGAATGACGTTATCTCAACTTGAATACATCTAATTAACATATATATACCCACCGCGGGTGGTTCTTATCCTCTGAGCTCGGGTCCTCTACCAGAGGACCCGAGCTCTTGGTTGTGCCAAGATATATATATATAAGATATATATATATATATATATATATATATATATTATATATATATATATATATATATATATATATATATATATATATATATATATGTTTTTTTATTTTTTTATTCAATATTAATATTTGTCAAAGTTAATCTAATAAAAAAAAAACACAGTGACGTCAGTTCCAAAGCGCTATTGTGTCAGACTCATCTCCCGCTGAAGAGGATCCAGCGACATCAAGAGATTACGGAAAATCACGCGAGATAACTGGCTTGCACCTTGTTGGGTTTTTTCAAAGGCAGAGGGGAGATTCCTGGCGTGCATCTGCTTAATTTGAAGAAGGTAAGAGTCAAACTATTTTCATCTAAATCCATATAAAAATATGTAACTTAAAATTTCTCTACATTTGCACCATTTTCTACTTGTTCCATACTTGTGTCACATTATTTCATGTTCTGTAGATTAAGTCGGTTAGGTTAAGGCAGTTAGCTATATGTGATATCATTGGTAAGTTTACATTTATCGCCGCACCATGTTAGGTACATTCTGTGCGAAAAAACTCTGCAGAGCCATATGTAGTGTAAGGGTCACAAAGCTGCTGCCAGAGACACAAATGGACCCCAGAAATGTCACAGTTTTGCTCCTCCTGAGCTCCCTGGAGGTTTAGTGGATTTTTAACACACGGATCTAACATCAGTCTATTTCTAACTATTTTAATTCTATTTCAGTAATGTTACTATGGAGGTAAACGTAGATACACACTTTGGTACCTTTCTATCATCATCGAGATTCTTAATTAATTATGGTAATAAAAAGTCCTACATTTCAGTCGGTGAAACCTGCAGAAAGCATTGCTTTCTGAGCTTTGTTAAATGTTCCTAAAATACCTGTTAGTTATGGATTTCTAGTATATTTTGTCAGGCTAAAACTCTCAATGGATTATCCATTATTACAGACTTGAGCTTTCTATTTTTTTTCTTTAAAATACATATTCCTCTGCTGTAAAGATGTTGGTTTTTTTTTGGACTCTTCTTTGTTGTCCCCAAATAATTGTAGCTCAGAAACAATATTGAAGTTCATTGGTTTAATTTTGAAATGTTGATGTTTTTTGTGTTGATTGTGCTCATTTTGACCTTTGTTACTATTGCTTTCTACCATGTTCAATTCACCATTGTTCTGCACATATGTGCTTGCATGTGTCCAGTGGTTATATTCATGAGGCATTCAAGGGTCTTGTACTAAAAGATACAACTCAGTTCAGTATGAATTGCATATTTTAATGGCTGAAAATATATCTGATCTCTTTCAGAACATCACCTGATCACCTATCTGTAATCCACCTGCTTAAGTTCTGGTCAAGGGGCTCATCGGCTATCAAGTTATAGATTTCAGTGGCTAATAGTAAGTTTTGCCAGATCTAAAGTGACTGAATGTAGTGTTAGAGAGCTTATAAAGCTAGGGTTCAGCTAAACATTTATTTGGCCAGTCTGTTTTATTTGTCTTTATTTGCGTGGGGATGTGGAAATGTAAGGAGTGTAGTCTCTCTCTGTCTCGTAGATATGACCTGTTAAAACATTTTACACTTAAACACCGGCATATGCGATGTTACCCATGCCCACACATAGACTGTCCATGTACTTGTAAGACATGGAATGCTTTGCATATTCATTTAAGTAGAAGGATATAGACTGTGTTGACCATTCTGTACTTTTCACATATTTCTTTGGTGATATATTCATGTCTTTATTTAAACCTCTAACAGCTTCAGTTAGATGTTTAAATAAAATGTTAAACTCCATTTTAGTCATGGCATAATGAAGGGATACTAACAATTTTAAATATCTTTCAAACAGACTGCAAGTCACTGATCACTTTTGTTGTGACTTCCTTTGAATGCAGCTATGTTTTCAAGTGTGTGAACCTATACTGCTGGAGTTTTGAGATTGTTCTCATTGTTTTTTAATCTGCATATTTAGGAAGACACTGCTGAGGTCAGATGAGAGTGCATCCTCAAAGGTCTGTGTGTACCTAAATGAAGATCCAGAGAAGCTGGTGAGGGAGTACATGGTATGTTAAATTCTCTTTGTGTTTATAATAGAAGTCCTAAGAGTTGTTAAAATACTTTCACCAACTAAGGTCCATGAGTGACTCAATCAATGTCAGTCTAATTTATTTATTTAATTACATGTGAATTGTCTCCCCCCCAATACCCTTCCCTAACTCCCTTAGGACGTTGATGAATGTGCAGAAATGGCCAAAGCCGAGGCTGTCCTCGGAATCGTCATTTGAGCAGAGGGTGCAGAGGCTGCCGATGCACATCTGGATGTTGGGATTGTCCTGGAGGAGGTGGAAGTTATGAACAGCTTGGGCAGTGTATCTTCTGCAATAGTGATGCTGCTGGGACTAATCTACGCACTAAACTTGAGCTACCCTCAAGTTTAGTGCGTTCAGCACTCAACTTGCTCAGTAACTCAAGCATACCTTTGAAGTAATACAGGAAATAATGAAATTGGATGGAAAGAACTTATCAAAGAAAGCACAAGTTCTCAATATGAAACTTGCCGCTAAGTTGAGTAAAGTTTCATATGGAAAATGAGTGTTTAAAGTCTGCAGTAAAAAAGATTTATATTGTTACAGTTCTCTAAGTTGAGCAACTATAATGACATGTTTATGTTGTAAAGAATTGGCTGGGAAATGAAACTGTAACCTTTTTGTAGTTGTTTTTTTTATTTCAATGTCCAACTCAGCTGTTTTGTGCTGTGTAAAAAAACGATGTATAACAATTTTGAAAATACAATTGTGTTGTACCTTTTCTAATTGTTGAGTGTTCTTCCTACACTTTCACCTAGTGCTATCTTAAAATGCTTGATTAACGCTTGAAAAAATGTCTTTGAACTAACATCATGAAATAATGGAAAGGATTTCCACACGATTAACTAGCTGTCTTTTAGCATGAAGCATATTTGTTGAGCTAACTTACTTTTAGTGAGTTGTACCTACTGAATCAGGTAGTGTGAAGGTACCACTGTAAAATAAGGTGGTTTCAACTAGATTTACATTCATCTTAATGAAGTTACATCAATGATTTGGTCCTAAACATTGCAGATTAGTTGGACTGGCTGTATTGCATTACACTGGGTCACGCTATAGTAACTGAGTTAAAGGAACCTTTAAAACATATGTTGAGTCAACACATTTCATTTGAATTTGAATAACCTTAATGAATGGAATAGAGCCAACTCATTTGATTTACAATCATCCATTGCATTACCATAATTCTGGTTAAGCCAACACATTTGGTTTAAATTAGAAGAACCATAATGAATTATGTTTTGCCAACTCATTTAATTTATATAAGAATAACCACAATATATTACGTTGAGCCAACATGTTTGATTTAGAATCACCCATTGAATCACCATTGTAACAAGTTGAGCCAACACATTTGCTTTACCTTGGAATAATCTTAATAAATTAGGTTGACCTAACACATTTGCTTTAAATAAGAGTAACACAAGTACATGGTGCTGAAATAAAGCAAAGTAATCAGGTGGAAATCCTTTCCATAATTTTTTTATGTTCATCCAATGACTTATTTTTTTCAGTGTAAGGACAGATCAGAATAAATTTCTTATGATGGTATTATTTTTCTTCCTGGGCTGAAGATGAATGCTCCATATATCAAGGAGCGCCTCAAGTGGTCAAATGATTATTGAAAGAAAAGTTTCAAAAGGTTAAAAAAAAATCTCAGTTCAAGGAAATCCAATCTAACCCTGTGTGAACAACATTATATATTGTCTGTTATTAACTTGCATGTTCACAGATACTTGAAGTAATGTCTGATAATGTCAGGCTCACAAATGTATTTGCATTTGGAGACAAAAGCAAAATATATGAAAAAAATTGTGTTCATCTGTAATTTTTTATGGATGCCCTACCTGTTTATATTTCCGTAGTATTCTGTTGTGCTGGCTAAAGAAAACATAAATGGCGCCTCTGTGGTCGTCTTCCAGCGGAGCTCCCACCACCAAGTCATTGAAGCCGTCACCATTGAGATCAGGGACAGGAGCGAGAGATGAGCCAAAGCGAGCGTTCTGGCCACCGTTGTGGATCTCCAACGCTCCTTCTGGGATGAAACGATTCTGAGCCAAGAAGAAAAAAAAAATACATGTATCAGATACGTCTGTACAAGCCCCAGATTTTACAAACGCTTTGGTCACACAAAATCTATTTTTGAAATTTTAAGAATAGGGCTTTTTTCTCAAGTGAACATCAGTAATAAGGAATTTTGAACATCTTTAGCAATTTACTGTTCGCTAAATGTTTAAATATAAAAAATTACCCTGTTTGCCATGAGAGAAATCTTGCCTACCATTGGTATTGATTGTGGCAGTTTTAAAAATATGCCATTTGATCAACTAATAGACTGGTTGATTTGAGCAACATTTGCTTTGGACATAAGCTAAAATGTGACTTAGATGCCCTTTTTCTAAGAATACGGCTGACACTCCTATGTCTTTTCAGCAGTCTGCTGAAAAATGTTTAAATGTTTAAAAATGTTTTCCATAAGGGTCTTGTTGTCTGCGTACACTGTAAAAAAGGAACCTCAGGGGTTATCACATTAACAAAAGAATATCATGTACTGTTAACTAAATAATTCCATGTTTGAGCCAAAAACATGATACAATCATGTTGCATAAACAAGATATTCCACAACTTCAACTTTTATAAAATTGAATCATGTTGAGCTAACATGATTCATTATAGTCAGACCGATCCTATGCTGAAGACCACGAGTGAGATCACGGGATATCATGCAAGTTCACGCAATATTACTGGAAATCACGGGATATCACGCGAGAATACACGAGACAATTGGTTTTCTCTCGCAAATGGAATAAAATGTATTCAAGGTGAGATAACGTGATTCAATTACGTCAGCTAGATCTTCCGCCAAAAAAAAAAAGAACGTCGGGGCATATTACATGAACAAAAGAATATCATGTACCTTTCACACAATAATGTTGGGTTTGAAGCGAAAACGTGATAAAATCATGTTGGATAAACAAGATATTCCACGACTTCACATTTATAAAATTGAATCATGTTGAGCTAACATGATTCATTATTGTCAGACTGATATTGTGCTGACGACAACGAGTGAGATCACGGCATATCACGCGAGAACACGCGAGACAATCGGTTTTTTCTCTCAACTGGACTAACGTGATTGAATGACGTTATCTCAACTTGAATAAATCTAATTAACATTTATATACCCACCGCGGGTGGTTCTTATCCTCTGAGCTCGGGTCCTCTACCAGAGGCCTGGGAGCTTGAGGGTCCTGCGCAGTATCTATCTATATATATATATATATATATATATATTATATATATATATATATATATATATATATATATATATATATATATATATATAAAATTTTATTCAATATCAATATTTGTCAAAGTTAATCTCATTAAAAAAAAAACACAGTGACGTCAGTTCCAAAGCGCTATTGTGTCAAACTCATCTCTCGCTGAAGAGGATCCAGCGACATCAAGAGATTACGGAAAATCACGCGAGATAACTGGCTTGCACCTTGTTGGGTTTTTTCAAGGGCAGAGGGGAGATTCCTGGCGTGCATCTACTTAATTTGAAGAAGGTAAGAGTCAAACTATTTTCATCCAAATCCATATAAAAATATGTAACTTAAAATTTCTCTACCATTTGCACCATTTTCTACTTGTTCCATACTTGTGTCACATTATTTCATGTTTTGTAGATTAAGTCGGTTAGGTTAAGGCAGATAGCTTTTTGTTTACATTTATCGCCGCACCATGTTAGGTACATTCTGTGCGAAAAAAGTCTGCAGAGCCATATGTAGTGTACAAAGCTGCTGCCAGAGACACAAATGGACCCCAGAAATGTCACAGTTTTGCTCCTCCTGAGCTCCCTGGAGGTTTAGTGGATTTTTAACACACGGATCTGGCATCAGTCTATTTCTAACTATTTTAATTCTATTTCAGTAATGTTACTATGGAGGTAAATGTAGATACACACTTTGGTACCTTTCTATCATCATCGAGATTCTTAATTAATTATGGTAATAAAAAGTCCTACATTTCAGTCGGTGAAACCTGCAGAAAGCATTGCTTTCTGAGCTTTGTTAAATGTTCCTAAAATACCTGTTAGTTATGGATTTCTAGTATATTTTGTCAGGCTAAAACTCTCAATGGATTATCCATTATTACAGACTTGAGCTTTCTATTTTTTTTCTTTAAAATACATATTCCTCTGCTGTAAAGATGTTGGGGGTTTTTTGGACTCTTCTTTGTTGTCCCCAAATAATTGTAGCTCAGAAACAATATTGAAGTTCATTGGTTTAATTTTGAAATGTTGATGTTTTTTTGTGTTGATTGTTTGTGCTCATTTTGACCTATGTTACTATTGCTTTCTACCATGTTCAATTCACCGCTGTTCTGCACATACGTGCTTGCATGTGTCCTGTGGTTATATTCATGAGGCATTCAAGGGTCTTGTACTAAAAGATACAACTCAGTTCAGTATGAATTGCATATTTTAATGGCTGAAAATATATCTGATCTCTTCAGAACATCACCTGATCACCTGTCTGTAATCCACCTGCGTAAGTACTGGTCAAGGGGCTCATCGGCTATCAAGTTATAGATTTCAGTGGCTAATAGTAAGTTTTGCCAGATCTAAAGTGACTGAATGTAGTGTTAGAGAGCTTATAAAGCTAGAGTTCAGCTAAACATTTATTTGGCCAGTCTGTTTTATTTGTCTTTATTTGCGTGGGGATGTGGAAATGTAAGGAGTGTAGTCTCTCTCTGTCTCGTAGATATGACCTGTTAAAACATTTTACACTTAAACACCGGCATATGCGACGTTATCCATGCCCACACATAGACTGTCCATGTACTTGTAAGACATGGAATGCTTTGCATATTCTTTTAAGTAGAAGGATATAGACTGTGTTGACCATTCTGTACTTTTCACATATTTCTTTGGTGATATATTCATGTCTTTATTTAAACATCTAACAGCTTCAGTTAGATGTTTAAATAAGATGTTAAACTCCATTTTAGTCATGGCATAATGAAGGGATACTAACAATTTTAAATATCTTTCAAATAGACTGCAAGTCACTGATCACTTTATACTGATCACTTTTGTTGTGACTTCCTTTGAATGTAGCTATGCTTTCAAGTGTGTGAATCTATACTGCTGGAGTTTTGAAATTGTTGTCTTTGTTTTTTTATCTGCATATTTAGGAAGACACTGCTGAGGTCAGACGAGAGTGCATCCTCAAAGGTCTGTGTGTACCTAAATGAAGATCCAGAGAAGCTGGTGAGGGAGTACATGGTATGTTAAATTCTCTTTGTGTTTACAATAGAACTCCTAAGAGTTGTTAAATACTTTCACCAACTAAGGTCCATGAGTGACTCATCAATGTCAGTCTAATTTATTTATTTAATTACATGTGAATTGTCTCCCCCCCAATACCCTTCCCTAACTCCCTTAGGACGTTGATGAATGAAATGGCCAAAGCCGAGACTGTCCTCGGAATCGTCATTTGAGCAGAGGGTGCAGAGGCTGCCGATGCACATCTGGATGTTGGGATTGTCCTGGAGGAGGTGGAAGTTATGAACAGCTTGGGCAGTGTATCTTCTGCAATAGTGATGCTGCTGGACTAATCTACGCACTAAACTTGAGCTACCCTCAAGTTTAGTGCGTTCAGCACTCAACTTGCTCAGTAACTCAAGCATACCTTTGAAGTAATACAGGAAATAATAATGAAATTGGATGGAAAGAACTTATCAAAGAAAGCACAAGTTCTCAATATGAAACTCGCCGCTAAGTTGAGTAAAGTTTCATATGGAAAATCAGTGTTTAAAGACTGCAGTAGAAAAGATTTTATTGTTACAGTTCTCTAAGTTGTGCAACTATACTGACATGTTTTATGTTGTAAAGAATTGGCTGGGAAATGAACTGTAACCTTTTTGTAGTTGTTTTTTTTATTTCAATGTCCAACTCAGCTGTGTTTTGTGCTGTGTAAAAAGACGATGTATAACAATTCTGCAAATACAATTGTGTTGTACCTTTTCTAATTGTTGAGTGTTCTTCCTACACTTTCACCTAGTGCTATCTTAAAATGCTTGATTAACGCTTGAAAATATGTCTTTGAATTAACATCATGAAATAATGGAAAGGATTTCCACACGTATAACTAGCTGTCTTTTAGCATGAAGCATATTTGTTGAGCTAACTTACTTTTAGTGAGTTGGACCTACTGAATCAAGTAGTGTGAAGGTACCACTGTAAAATAAGGTGGTTTCAACTAGATTTACATTCATCTTAATGAAGTCACATCAATGATTTGGTCCTAAACATTGCAGATTAGTTGGGCTGGCTGTATTGCATTACACTGGGTCACGCTATAGTAACTGAGTTAAAGGAACCTTTAAAAAATATGTTGAGTCAACACATTTCATTTGAATTTGAATAACCTTAATGAATGGAGTTGAGCCAACTCATTTGATTTACAATCATCCGTTGCATTACCATAATTCTGGTTAAGCCAACATATTTGGTTTAAATTAGAACAACCTTAATGAATTATGTTTTGCCAACTCATTTAATTTATATAAGAATAACCACAATATATTACGTTGAGCCAACATGTTTGATTTAGAATCACCCATTGAATCACCATTGTAACAAGTTGAGCCAACACATTTGCTTTACATTGGAATAATCTTAATAAATTAGGTTGACCTAACACATTTGCTTTAAATAAGAGTAACACAAGTACATGGTGCTGAAATAAAGCAAAGTAATCAGGTGGAAATCCTTTCCATAATTTTTTTATGTTCATCCAATGACTTATTTTTTTCAGTGTATAGAGAAAAACTAGATTTGTGCTGTGTGAAAATATCCTGATAAGCAACAGCATCAAAAACAGGATCTTTTAGTTGTGACTCGTTGAACTCAAGAGGATCTCTGTCAATGTCCTCTGGTATCGTACACACAGATCTTACCAGTAGATCCTTTAAGTCTTGTCTACGATACAGAGCCTGCGTAGACTGGATGTTCACATTCCAGACATGGTGGAAAACATTCACATGGTCAGAAGTAGGAGACCAGCTTAACACCTCTGACTGTTTTTGATGTTCAGCTAAAGAGTGGAGTAGTTTCAGACATCCTGCTGATGTATGACACCGCTGCAAAAAGCAACGTTTGGCTGTTCTGAGATTTAGATTGGTCAACAAAGGAAAACCAAAGGAAAAAAAACGAACCTCTTTTGTCTTAAAAGTTCCATAAAACACAGCATCTTTTCTACAACCTTTACTCCATGCAAAAATATCACTCATCATATTCTAAAAGAAATACGTGAAGTCTGTATGAGGTGCCAAAATGTAGTCACTGGCAATAACCAGCCTAGTTGCCAAAATCAATGGTTGTATATAGGGTTAGGGTTAGGGTATCACCAGATTTGTTTCAGTAGACTCAGTCTGCTGTGAACAAGAGTCAACATGGTCTCTCATGCACAGCAAACGGAACAAAGTCATTTATGCTGCTTTTCATGCTATATGCTTCAGTAATAAGGTAAGCAATGTTTTTAACTTCAATCAGTGCATATTGTTAAGAATCTGGAAAGATGGTGTTTTGGATAATCATAAAAAAGACCCAGATGTTGGAGATTAGAAACAAAAATCCCACATACTGCCATCTTTTTAATGAGGACACACTGATCAATCATGAAGAGGCTTCAAAGATGTGATGGTAACGTCACAGATAAAATGGGGGGAAGCATTTATTAAGTCTATACTCTAGAAAATACATATGCTCAAGTTAAGCAGCATGTAAGCTCAACTTTGATCAGTTGACTGTTGGACAAAAAAGATGCTTCAAAACAGCATTTTTACTATTTGTTTCTCAAAGAATATTATACCCTAAATAAGGGAACCATAAATGTTCTGTTTGTTTCCCAGTAAAACTCTGATTGGGATGTGAAAGGACCCTCCAACCTTGGATTGAAACTTTTAACAAGTGAAAGAAAGTTATTGTGCTTTGCATTCATTAGTGTTTATTGCATCAATTATCTTCAAACCATTGCTGATACAGAAAAAGTACCGTAATTCACTTATTTTCTATCTTGTTTTGTTTTTTTAAACAGAATACTGAGTTTGGATTAACATCTGTCTTTTGCACATAACTCTTTGTTTTATTTTTCTTTGAACTGAAACTTCAGGCACTAAAAAAAATCTAAAGAATCTTACCTTTGGGTTCTGAGAGGGGAAAAAAGCATTATAGCTAAAGATATTTATTTGAAGTTCTATTCTTGGGAAGTGCTAAGGCCCATGGAAGATAACCGTGACTTCAGAGGCAAGCAGACTGCTGGAAAAAGTTTCAGACATAAGTCTGAGAAAATGGAACCGGAGTCCATTAGTAGTCATCCATATCATTGCTCTATTTGGCATCAAACAGTCATACAGTAATAAAACTCAGGGCTGCCAGATTAAACATGAGCTCACTTGTTTTTTCAGTTGTGTGAATGCAAGTGAAGTTGACTTAAATGGAGGCTTTTACTTCTCAGCTACCTGATGTGAGGATATGTGACAAAATGGAAGATTTATAAAGAAACAGAGAAACATAATGCTGTTTGATTTAAAACATATGGTTCATGAGGAGGCACCGAAAGGTCACGACCAGTCCACAGAGAGACAGCTGTACGTGTCAGATGGCATAATGTGTGAACTATTATTTTTTTGATCAAGTCGGACTGCATCAGAATCACAAATATATACAACACGAGGCAGATAGTGCTTTAATTAATCTTATAAGCTGTAATTTTGGTATCTAGACTGCAGCTTGACGTTGCTCTACACATTCTATCTGAAATTAATTGAAAACATATGAATGACGAATTTTTAAAACCATACAATTTTCCTGTAGCTTCACAATTATGCCTTATTTTGGATGCACTCTCACATAATTTCCAAGTTAAATGCAGTTATGTTTGTGTGTTTAACCTTAATAAATGTAGAAAAGTTCAAGGGGTAAGGTGGCCAAGAAGCAGCCAAAAGAATCATAAAAGATTTAGAGACTTTCTGTGAAGAAGTGAGTCTTCATGGATGTGAGAACTGGGTGACTAACTAGTAACAGACTCAGCACTCTGCTTGCCAATACAAGTTTTTCTAATAAGTATTAAATCCCATTTTGCTGGGAGATCAAATTTTATCTAATCGTTTTTGAACAAATTTACAAAATTAAGAATGGGTTCAAATACTAATCTATTTGTTGATAACAGCTTATAATAATAGCTGCCACATCCTTTACATTCATGCACTCCTGAACAAGAGATAATGTCAGACGTATCTCACCTGCGTTTAGGAGAAAACGAACTGGAAAGCTGCTAAGTGTTCAAACATTCATTATCAGCTGGAAGTGAATTTAACACATGATTTGGAAACGTCCCACAGAAAGAGTGGAAAAGCACAGAATTCAAGTTACTTTATGTCTAGGTATTTTCCAGTCAGCGAAGTTTTCAGGAGTCGTGTCATCTTCTGCTTTCTATAATTCCACTGATTTTACTCAAAGCCTGTATCAGAAAAGTTTAGAGCCCTTCATATTTCCCTCTGCTTTCTACCTTTCTTTATGGAAATGTGCATTTCATTTTCCAGCAGGGCTTGGCACCTGTCCACACTACCAAAGATGTCAACACCTGTGATTGGCTAAATGACAATCGTATCACTGTTGATTGACTGGCAGAGAAACGTGACATAAACACTGTGATGACTCTGTGTGGACTATTGTCAAGAGGCTGAGGAGAGACACCAGACTCAATGCAGATTGAAGCAACCTGTATCTTTTATATTTTCTATAACTCCAATTTTCATTAATTGCAAGCTATAATCATCCATATTAATCCAAATTAAATATAACACTCTGTATAATGCATCTAAAAAATGTAAGAGCTTAATCTTGAACAGAATTACTGAAATAAATTGGATTTTAGGTTATCTTCTGATTCTTTGAGACGAGCCTGTGTAGTCCTATAATATATGTGGTTCTGTGTCATTAATAAATAAAATTTATAGAAGATTTTTTGTGGCAAATATTTCTCTATGGATATGTTTAGACTATTTAGAACAAAGACAATTAAAAGAAAGCTAAAAGGAGTTGAACTGAACTCATCCAGAGAAACGTTAGAAGTGCTAATGTGAATAAAAATTGTAAAAATATTGGATATAACAACTCCAATAAGCAAAAAGTACAAAACTAAAAAAAGGAAAGGTTTATTCATCAAAAGGTTCCGTAGGTAGGTTTTTAGTGCTTACTGCCAATGTGTCAGAACACTATTTAATCTGTGGAATCCCAGAGCATTTCCCAAGTATTTAGTAGGACCACAGAGATGAATGCAAGTGTTTTTCCAGAACCAATTCACAAAGCAGCATCTCAAGCAACACCTGAATCAACCACATCATTAATATTAACTGCCCTGAACATGTGGCATTTCTGTCTTAATGACGAGACACCCCGCTAAGGTATGATTTGTTTATGTTTTGCTTGAAAGCTCAGACTTGCCACCTGTGATGTGGTTTTGGCCACAACAGACGTTTAAATACCTCATCCATGCCTGCTCTCTGAATTTAAACCAGCTGAGGACATTCATTTTCCCAACCAGCGAGACAGACCTGGAGCACTGGGAACATTTTTCTTTCTGAAGACGCTTCTAGCGTCCAAGATGGTGTGCCGCTGGAACCGGGCTCGGAAGGGGCAGAATACTTTCCTCCTGAGTTCACTCTCCACATCCTGTGAAGTCTGAACGCTGGCATGAAGAGGTTCTCCCATTCGATCAGGAGAAGGTCATGTGT